ATGGAGCCTGCTTCTCTCACTGCCTGTGTCTCTGCCTCTCTCTCTCTCTCTCTCTCTCTCTCTCTCTCTGTGTCTCTCATGAATAAATAAATAAAATCTTTAAATAAAATAAAAAGTTTTGGGGATTTCAGTGATCTTTTTGAAATGATTTGGCATTCACTATTGTTCTTTTAATTTAGTTAGTTAGCTATGTTTAAGGGGAAAAAATTCATGATAAGAATTTTCCCTCCAATGAATGCAAGAGGTGTTTGACAACAAAATCTGTAGCTTATGTTGGAGTTAGAAGTTACCAGAGATGAACAAGTTACCGAGGCTGGCCAGGGGTTCAGCGGTATCTCTTCACTAGAAAGCCAGAAAGAAATGCTTTGGAAGGCACTTTCCACAATGTACAAAAAACCTACTAAAACACTGGTAGGTTACAGCTTTGTGTTTTTTTTTTTAAAGGTATTTGACCAGAGTGCACTTTCAACTGAAGCTAAAGAAGAAATGTACAAACTGTATCCTAATGCCCGGAGGGCTCATCTTAAAACAGGGGGCAATTTCCCATACCTGTGCAGAAGTGCGGAGGTGAATCTTTATGTGCAGGTAAGTCCCAGCTTGGGAGCCGGAACACTTTGAACCCAAAGTGTATGGTTTGAAACATAAAGCTTTTTTTTTTTTTGATGGTGGAATAAGAGGACTACAGAATTCTCTGTAGCAATGAGTCATTCACTTGATAAAGGTGGTTTACATTAATAATTTATAGCAGAAGCCAAGTGGGTATATTAGAAACAGTTGAGTGACTCTGCCTACCATCTCTTTTCTAAGAACAGCAGGCCTGCATCCACACATACTGAAGTGGCCATGCCACATGATGTGACCTTGCCTCCTGGATACAGTGAATTCAATCAGAACAGGAACCTTCATTGAAGCAACTTCCTGATCCATTTTTAACGCGTTAAAAAAAACACACGCAGGAGTGCCTGGCTGGCTCAGTCGGAAGAGCATGAGACTCTTGATCTCAGGGAGTTGTGAGTTCAAGTCCCACATGGGGTGTAGAGATTACTTAAATATAACTTAACATATACACACGTGCGCATGTACAAAAACTAGCAAAAGCTGCCACTTCATCTTCTACCCAAATGGATATTAAAATAGCAGTGAGAGGGCAGCCCTGGTGACTCAGTGGTTTAGTGCCGCCTTTGGTCCAGGGTGTGATCCCGGAGACCCAGGATCAAGTCCCACGTCAGGGTCCCTGCATGGAGCCTACTCCTCCCTCTGCCTATGTCTCTGCCTCTGTCTCTCTCTGTGTCTCTCATGAATAAATAAATAAAATCTTTAAGAAAAAATAAAATAGCAGTGAGAAATTATTGCTCTGGCAGTTCGGTAGGAAGTATCAAGAGCTTCAAAAACCAGTCACATCCTTAGGTCCTGCCATCTATTTGTGGCATGGATCCTAAGGAGAAGACCCTAAATTCAAAAAAACCTGATGCCAGGAGACATTGATCATGATCTCACACAGAACAGCAGAGGATCGGGGGAGGACCTGAGTCACAGCAGCAAAGCAGGAGGGTAAACACCCACTCACAGAGTGGTGTGCCACCCTCTAAGATGTTGATGAAGAGTTTGTAGGAACTTGGAGGGACCTGTTATATATTAAATAGGGAACAAAGATCCCACATTGTGGTTTTTCAAAATACTTTTTCTATGTTTTCCAGTTTTTCTCTAATTACATTATAATTTTAGAACTATAAACATTTATATGCTAGGGCACCTGGGTGGCTCAGTCGGTTGGATGTCTGCCTTTGGCTCCGGTTGTGATCTCGGGATCCTGGGATCAAGCCTCATGTTGGGGCTCTCTGCTCAGGGGGTGTCTGCTTCCCCCTCTCCCTCTCCTCTCTGCGCTCTCTCGCTCTCAAATAAATAAATAAAACCTTTTTAAAAAAGCATTTATGTGTTACTGTGGCATTTAAAATAATGATTCTGTGTTTCTACAGATCCATTTGCTACAATTCCATGGAACCAAATACGCGGCCATCGACCCGTCGATGGTCAGTGCTGAGGAACTAGAGGTGCAGAAAGGCAGCCTGAGCATCAGTCAGGAGGAGCAATAGCTCTGTTGCCGCCTGTTAATGATGAGTGATCCAGAGAGTTCTTGTACAATCAGCTGCGTCAGCACCCGCCAGGCAGGCTCTGTTCAGTTGTCAGGCTCGCCAGTCATCACTGTGTTTGGAAGCAGGACTGATTGTCATCTTTGTGACAGGCAGCAGCTCTTCTAAGCCAGTGTGACTGTTCCCTCTGCATTTTTTTTTTTTTTTTTTTTTTTAGCTTTTGAATTTGAGGAAGTACTTTTGAAGCCTCTCACTTTAAGAATTGTGAAAATTTTGCTACCAAAAGTCTTCTCACCACTGTGTTCTTAAGAGAATGTTGATTTTTGAGGTTTGGGATTTTGTGGAGTTTTTTTCTTTTCTTTCTTTTTACGATATTTGCTGTAAATGCTGCACATCCAGATTGTGTATCAGAAGGACATTGGTTATTTTTATGCTTTCTTGATTATAACCGTTATCAAGTGCCAAGGCTGTCTGTCACCCCACTGTTTGCTCTCCTACAAAATCAGCTACTTCTAATTTCCAGTTAAGCAGATCATTTTCAGTTTTATCTGTTGTCTTTCTAGCCATTACAGTCATTTGGAATAAAAATTCAATTTCAGTGAGTGGTTTTGGTGATTATTGTAGCTGCCCAACTGGACTGCATAGACATAGGACTTTCTGCAAAGCAGACCATGGGGTCATTGGCCAGTTCTTGGTGACATCAGGTAAGTGACTTACTAAAGTGCAGTTTGCTCATTGTAAAGTAACAGTAGCTCTCATTTATTGAGCTGTTAGTATGTGCCAAGTACTTTTCATACCTTCTTGTCTTCCCCTAGTGGGAATATCTCTTAAATCTCTTTTAAACTGTAAATTCCTGTTTTTTTCTTGCCATGAATTTGTTGAAGAAACAGGCTCATCTGCCCTGTAGAATTCCCCCACAGTCTCGATTTGGCTGATTGCAGCCTCACAGTGTCCTTTAACTTGTTTCTATGTCCCTGGTATTTCCCATGAACTGGTGGTTACATCTAGAGGGTCAGTTTCACATTCAGTCTTTTGGGCAGGAATACTTCATAGGCAAAGCTGTGTGCTTCCCATTATGTCACTGCGGGAGGCCCAGAACATCCTGCTTGTCCCTAAGTTGTGAAGATTGCTCAGTAGATTCAGACGTTGTCAGCCAGATCCAGTCAGTCATTGGGGAATTCCACTGATGGTTTGCCTGCCACTGCTCATCACTGCACAGATGCACTATGTCATTAGAGGATGCAGAGCAGTAACAATAACTCTAATTTTTATTCTATTAACTAGAGTTCTCGGATTTAAGAATCTTCCCCTCATCAGCTATTTGGTTTCACTGGGGTACAATTTAGACCAGAAAAATCAGCATCGATGCTTCTTTCCCTTTAAGTTTTCAGAACTTTGAGTTAACCATACTATTTCCAGTTTTATGCCCACCACAACCCTGGTTAGGCTGATATTACAGGTGAGGTCATGGAAACAGGGACAAGAGATTTGTTCAGCATCACACAGGGAGGGGTGGAGCTGGCATGGCAACTTGGGCCTGGCCATCCCTAAAACCAGTGATCTTTCCATGTAGGTTAGTGTGTGCTCTACCTTGTGACTTGAGAACAGTCTGGAGTTATGGAAACTGGTAAGCCATGAAGGTAGAGCTTTAATGTTTTTAACTGTTCGCATCTGAGGCTCCTTCCCAACCAAGAGGGAACTCCTGTGGGCAGGGCCAGGCTGCACATGGTCAGCAGCCCCTTCCTTACCTGGTACAGCAGTGAACTGTGGGACTACCCTCTGCTTTCTTTTCAAATTCTCCCTGAGTGAGCCACTGCCTCCGACAGCTTCAACCACTCCCTGGCTCTAGGACCTGATGACTGCCATTGCCAAACCCAACTGATTCTGAGATGGCCTTGAATGCCTAATGGGCCCATCAGGCCAGCCTTCTACAGGCACACCCATGTCCCCACTGCCCAAACCTGCTCCTTCTCTCTTAGATCCATCCTCCCTGTTCCCAGCACCACTGTGCCCCCAGATTCCCCAGCTAGAAACCCAGCCACCCCCATCTCCAGGTCTCAGGCTGAAGCAGATGCCAAGATGAAACTTCGAGATGAGCCAGGTGGTTACTGAGGATCACAGGAAAGAGGTGTGGAAGTAAGCAGGGTTGGGCAGGGGAGAAGCTGAGCTGTGACGGGCTGACCAAGCACTGGTGGACCACATAGGAGGCTCTGGAGCTATGAGTGTCCGTTGGAATCATCTCATCAGGGTCTGAAATAGCCAGGCCCTCCTGCCCCTCCAGCTCATCTCTCCTCTTCCTCCCATGCTTCCTGTGTTCCAACCATACCATTCTGCAAGGAGATACAGCTCCGCACCACTGTGCCATTGCACAGACTGTGCTTTTTGCTTGCAATGTGCTTTGCCTACTTCTGTCTTCTCTGAGAGCTTCTCAGACCTCCCTCCCTCCTTCCTCCTTCCCTTCCCCAAGGAAGAACAAGTCCCACAGTTCTCCCTACACACACATAGCACCAACCACATGACAGCGCCTCACTGGGGTCCCAGTTCATCCACCCCCCAACATCACAAACTTCCAGAGGGCAGGAACTGTGGCCACTCCACACTATAACTCAGCTCCCAGCAGACTGCCTGGCACGGAAGACAGTAAATATTGACTGGCAGTGGTGAGCCGAGTGGTGTGGTTACACAATCAATCCACAACAGCTTGTCTGGCTTGAAATTTTGCCATACATCTCCCAAACAAAAGGAATACGGAATGTGAAAGCTGTATTTCAACATTTCAATTTTATTTAAGAACTTTTGTCTCAAATACAAAATTCATTCCACAGAATTCAAATAAATGGTCTAAGTCCTGTGTGATACAAAATACATTTCCTAAATGGAATAAATGCAAGAGAAGACTCTCCCCCCCCCCCCCCCCTCAGCAAAGCACATGCAGGAGCGCCTGGGTGGTTCAGTCAGTTGAGTGACTCTTGATCTCAGCCCAGGTCTTAATCTTAAGCCCAGGGGGCTGGGAGTTCAAGCCCCACACTGGGTGTGGAGCCTACTTAAGAAAACAACAAAACCCCAAAACCATTGCACATGCAGAGGAAGGACATGGAGGTTCCTGTGCCACCCCTGGGGGTCTGAATCTGGCTGTGAACTCTGAGGCCTCAGGCCTACAGGTTACTGCCTGTAAAATAGGTTGGTTCCAAAGCCTCTTTTTCTTTTCATAAGCTTTAAGTGTTTTTTTTTTTTAAAGATTAATAGGAATAGTTTAAAAAAAAAAACCCTGAGCAGGTTCCCATGCACTCCTCTGCACAGCATAGTTTCTGCTCTATTTCTTTGCATTAGTGTTAGTATAGCGTTTGCAGGTTTATCTGTAGGATAAATACCTCCCGGTGGGATTGCTGGGTCAAAGGGCAAGTGCATTTGTAATTTTGGCAGATAGAATGCCAGCTGCCTTTCAGAGGACAGTACCACTGTGTGTGAGCTCCCACCATGCATAGGTGATGGCTGCAGCCCCTCTCAGCTCTAATGTCTTTCATGGTCTCCCTCCCTCCCAGGACTCAGGCCCAGCGAGTGACTCTGTGGGGAGTTTTTCCTAAGACGTGGGCTCCTAGAGTGGCCACAGCAAGCTGTGCCACATGCGTGAGAGCTCAGATTAGAAAGAGCTTCCGGGGCAGCCTGGGTGGTTCAGCCTTCCGCCCAGGGCATGATCCCGGAGACCCAGGATCAGAGTCCCACATCGGGCTCCCTGCATGGGGCCTGCTTCTCCGTCTGCCTGTGTCTCTGCCTCTCTCTCTCTGGATCTCTCGAATAAAAATAAAAATAAATTTTAAAAACTAAAAAAAAAAAAAAAAAAAAGCTTTCAGGCAGAACTTGCAGGCTATCCTGCATAGATATTCTCCACATCTGTGACACCATGGTGAGGCATCCAGAGTCACATTTTCCACTCTTCCTGGTGCAGCCAAGCCACCTGTGCTTCGCTGGCACCTCAAAGCAAAGCTCCAGACCAGCTGTGCCACCCAATATGACTGCCACTTGCTACAGACGCCTATTTAAACTTCCAAAAATTAAACTAAAAATTCGGTTCCTCCGTCCCACTAGCCACATCTCAAGTACCCAGTAGCCACAGGTGGCTAGAGGTAAACAGGGACAGCACAGATCTGGGTCACCACAGAAAGTTCTGTCAGATGGTGCAGCTCTGGACAGGTGACCCTTTGTATGGGGCTATTTAAAACTAAGAATGAGGGATCCCTGGGTGGCGCAGCGGTTTGGCGCCTGCCTTTGGCCCAGGGCGTGATCCTGGAGACCCGGGATGGAATCCCGCGTCGGGCTCCCGGTGCATGGAGCCTGCTTCTCCCTCTGCCTGTGTCTCTGCCTCTCTCTCTCTCTCTCTCTCTCTCTGTGACTATCATAAATAAATACAAATTAAAAAAAAAACAAAACTAAGAATGAAAACTAAATGCAAGGTGTGATCCTGGGCTGGATCCTGGTCCAGAAAAAGGACTTGAATGGCTCAACTGGCAAAATCGGAATAAGGTCTGAAGAGGAGTTAGTAGTATGGTTGGTATCAGTGTTAACTTCCTGGTTTTGAAAATTTTGCTGTATTATGTAAGACATTAGTACTCGGGGAAGTTGTATTGTGAGGCGTATTCAGAAATTCTCTGTACTGGTTCTGCAATGTTTTTTGGAAGTCTGAAACGATTTCAAAATAAAATTTTAAAATTAAAAAATTCTAAAAATAAAAATTAAATAAAAATTAAAAAATTCTAAAACAAGAGAGAAAAAATAAAAGTGTGTGCCTCCCAGAACCATCACGGTATACAAATACACTTGGGAACAGAACAGCTATGGAATAAGCACAGCATTCATTAAAAGCCAGTGAATGAGGGAAGGGCGACCCACTTTGTAAGGGACAGTTGGAGCCCTTTTGCCAGGTTGGGGAGACAAGAAGGCAGGGTTTGGCACCTGACCTCAATAGCTGATTAGCTGCTTCTCCATCCTGAGCCTCAGTGTCCTCTCTAAAAAGGTGCCACTTGCATCTCAGGGGACTGCTGTGAGGCTCCAAGAGCTGTAAAGGACCCTTCCTGTGGGAAGAGGTTACCTGCAGAACCCGAACCGGCCCCTGGACCAACCCTGGAAATGAGATTACAAGCAGTGCCTGCTACTCTGGCACGACTGCCTGCTTTAATACAAGCAGCTGGAGGTCTGTTAACAGTGATTTTTTTTTTTTAAGCCCTTAAATGGTGGTCCTCTTCTGCTCAGTGGCGCCCATTCTGAGGCCCCATGCCTCTGGAGGTCTGGCCTCTCCAGTTACATGACCATGCACCTGCTGGGGGCACTTGGGTCAGCATTTGCTTTCTTCCTGACGCTTTCTGCAAAAGAGAAATCCTATTGCTTCATGTTGCCTAAACTCTGCCTCGCAGGGCTGGTTTTATGTTTTAATTGCCTGCCACTGTTTGTGTTAAGATAGAGCAATAATTTCTCCAGTTTTCTGTTAATGGCGAAAGAATGGAAGCGAATAAAGTTTTACTGATTTTGGGGGGAAAAAAAGATAGCACAATAATATTTCAGAACATTTCAGAAGAAGAAGACGGTCGTCCCTAATTCCTCCATCTTGAAATGACTGTTTTCCCACCTTGCCGGCAGCAGCGGTGACTTTACCCACCACACAGGCAGCTTTCCCTTCTCCCCTCTATACCATGCTACCCATGTTTTCACTGTTGGTGCCTGACACAGTCGTGGTTACTACTGCTGACGGCTTAACATCCTGTCCTGTGGTTGCCCCCAGAATGCACCAGGCCAATGCACATTACTATGGTATTTAAGGTTCTTTCATCATGAGCTGATTTTATGTTTAATGAGGGATCAGTCCTGAACCTTTTATCTCACTTGCCTGATGATTCCACAGGGTGCTCAGAATCTCAAACCAGGCTTTTGGGATTGACAGACTCAAAAGGTGGTGATGGCCTCAGAAATATTTGACCAGATCAACCTGGTTCAACCCCTATCAAGCCAGTTCTGGCCCATACGTCTTACTGTTTGTGGAAAAGAAGCCTGCAGGCTGTTCCAGCCTTATTCCAAACTAGAAAAAAAAAAAAAAATCAAAGTACAGAGGACCCGAGAGGAAGAGGTGATAGCATCAGTGGCTTTGTGGCTGTGAAGGTTGCAGGCGTCAACTGCGCCAACCCCCTCATGGCACAGATGGGGAAATGGGGCCAGGAGGCACTGGTTTGTCCAGAGCTCTCCCTGAATTCCAGTGGACAAGGCAAGGCCCAGGAGTGTGGAAGGCTCAGAGCCAGCACCACAGCCCTGTGCTCTCAGCAGACCTCCGGGGGGCTCTGTCGCATTGTAGAGGGGCCATACAGCTCCAAACAGAGGACACTTACCAGCCAGGTCCCTCCTGTCAATGGCCACGAGGCCCTCAAACAGCGCTTTGCTGGGGTTCTCACTGGCTGCGGCCACGCCATGCAGCCAGATGAGCAGCATCCGGTGGCCGTGCTCCTGGTAGCTCTTGGTGCCTGAGGACCACGAGGGGAGAAAGAGAAGGAGCCTGCTCGGCCCACCCTGGCAGAGCCAGCTCTAAGCAAGTGTCTGTGCTGTCCTGCACCACCTCCTGCACATGCCCAGGTGGGAAAGTGCTCACTGGAACCTCCTGGGACGCCTTAAGGAAAGCACAGACACCTGGGTCCCTTTCCCCTCCGACCTCCTTGGGTCTGGGTACAGCCTGGGCACTGAGTGGTGTTAAGGCTTCCCAGGTGATTCCAACATACAGCCACGTTTGAAAATAACTGTGTCGGAGGAGGAGGGTTAACTTGGTCCTACACCCTGTGACCAGGTCTGCTCTCCTGGCCGGCACAGCCAGCAGGGCCAGGTCAGCCCGCGCACTGGGTCCTGGGACTTTCTGGCCTCCTCTGGGCCCTCAGCACACACTTTCTCATGATGCTGCCCTTGGCATAGAGCTTTCATTTGGGCCATTTATTCACCATCCCTTCCCCCCATCCCATAATGTCCCCGTGCTCTTTTACATTTCTGAAAGTTATTACCTGTCACAAAGGTTGCATTTGGATATCCTGCTCTATCGCACTAATTGGTACGCAGATTTTTGTCAGGTGTCTCTCTTTGCCAATTATTTGAACTTTGTAAAGGGTTGAGTCTAGTTGGATTGGATCCTCTTCACTTTTCCCCCCAGAATATTCATTTAAGTATTCCCTCTTTGGGGCGCTTGGGTTGGTTGGTTAAGCATCTGCCTTCAGCTTGGGTCATGGTCCTGGGGTCTTGGGATCAAGACCCTGTCAGACTCCGTGTTCAGTGGAGAGTCTGCTTCCCCCTCTCCCTTTACCCCCCACCCTCAACTCATGCTGTCTCTTGTGCTCTCTCACATACATGCTCACTCTCAAGTGAATATATAAAATATTTTTTAAAAAATTAAACATTCTTTCAAGTGAACTCTAGAATCCTTTAGTCAAGTTTCAAAAACCTATTTTTGATTAAACCCAAATCAGGGACACGTGGGTCGCTCAGTCAGTTAAGCATCTAATTCTTGGTGTCGGTTCAAGTCATGATCTCAGGGCCGTGATCTTGGGGTTGTAGGATCAAGCACCATGTAGGGCTCTGAGCTCAGTGCAGAGTCTGCTTGGGATTCTCTCTCCCTCTCCTTGCCATTTGCTCTAAAATAAATTAATCTTTAAAAAAAAAAATCAAATTTGGAGCACCTGGGTGGCTCAGTGGGTTGAGCATCGGTCTTCACTTGGGTCATGACCCTCGAGTCCCAGGATGGAGCACCACGTTGGGCTCCCTGCTAAGTAGGGAGTCTGCTTCTCTCCCTCAGCTCCTCCTCCTGCTTGTGCTCTGTTTCTCAAATAAAATCTTTTTAAAAATCAAAATTTCAATCTAGTTTGGGAAAAAAATCAATGTCTACCTGATACTTTTTCTAGCCAGGAATATAGAATATCTTTCCACCCACATAAGTCTTTTTTTATAGTTGAACTAATTTTTATTGTTTTACTCAGATGCCATTCATATTTTTCATGTTTTTAGAAACACTATTCTGAAAAACACTGTTTCTAAAAACATATTCATAAAAACATGAATGTTTTTAGAAACACTATTCCAAATGGAATATCTTTTCAAAAATACCTCTGTATATTTACCCCACTTATTGATGGTACATAGGAATACCATGGTGTCTGTATATTTTATCATATTTAGCCATTTCACTGAATTATTTCTATTTCTTTTAAAGATTTTATGTATTTATTCATGAGAGACACAGAGAGAGGCAGAAACATAGAGGGATAAGCAGACTCCTCAAGGGGAGCCTGATGTGGGACTCGATCCTGGGATTCCGGGATCACAACCTGAGCCGAAGGCAGACGCTCAACTGCTGTGCCATGCAGGTGTCCCTATCTAAGTTTTTCAGTTGATTCTTCTGGACTTCCTAGGTAGAGGATTATAGCATCTGAAGCTAATAAATCTCTCTTCCTTTTCAATATTTACAGTCCTTATTTCTGTTTGTTTTCTGCCTTAGTACCAGGGCCAACATTTCTTTTTTATTTTATCTGAGAGGAGAAGGAGTGAGCATGAGAGAGGGGGAGAGGGAGAAGCAGACTACCCACTGAGCAGGAAGCTGGATGCAGACATGGGGCTCCATCCCAAGACCTGAGATCACTACCCAAGCCCAAGGCAGACGCTTAACTGCTTAACCCACTGAGCCACCCCCAGCTGCCCTAGGCCAACATTTCCAAGCAGATATTAAATAATGGTGGCAACTGCTGGTCTCCTCCTTTTTATAGGGAGTACCTTTAGTTTGGTGTATGAATGATGGGTATCAGCTTGGGCTAATTCATAAAGAACATGAAGGTCACAGGTCAATGGGGAGGGAGAGGCAGAGAGCACAGCCTGAGCAAAGGCCTGGAAAGACAGGCACACAGGATGTTGGGGGTGGCATGTGGCTGGGCTGTGGGTTGCACTGGCTTCTCTCCTAGACACACAGAAAACCCAATACACAGGTGCCCCCACCCCTCCACCCACTGGTTGCTCTCAGGTTGTGGGGGTGGGGGGGAAGCAGGCCAGTACCTGTCCACTGCTGCTCGATGGCGTGGACATGGGCGTCAGTGAACTCCCAGCAATACGCGAGCTTCTTCCATTCATGAGGCCGCAGGTCCCTGGAGGCCAGTCGCCACAGCACAGAGTGGAACTGCTGCCTTTCCTGCCGATGATCCTGCTTAAAGGTCAAGTTCTTCCCAGAGGGCTCCCTGCGCAAGGGGTGATCCTGTGGAGCAGATCCCAGAAGCCCGGCTGCCACCTGGGGGACATCCCTGCCAGGCTCCGGCAGCACCACAGGCCTGGGGTTTTGGGTCTGCTACTTTGATTTCTCACTCTGTGCCTTGCTTTGAATTCTGGAACCCCAGCTGCTCATACTGTTCCTCCATCCAGAATTCCTTTTCTCACCTGCCTGTCCCTTAACTGCATTGCCACAGTCAAAAGATCACCCACATGCCACCTCTTCCAAGAAGCCTTCCCAATTCCTCTTCTTAGGGCACAAGAGCCAGCAGAAGGACTCAGAGGCTTTGGCTAACACCAGTCAAGGCCAGGATCAGGCACTAACTAGATTTGCTGAATCCCAATGAGGAGAAGGGCGAGATTACAGGATTCTTTCTCTGCAAAGCAGGTAATATAATGGGAAGTTACAAAGGAATTCTGTGGTAGCATAAGTTAAACCCACAAAAGCCTAAGTAAGCTCCTTTTCAGGATGTGAATACAAAGTTCTGGTTGTTAAAAAAGCCCAGGTGAGTCCTGGCGTCTGCAGCTGCAAATCTTAACCTCCTGGTCAACAGTGTCTGGCCAGGCACCGGTGACGTAATGACCAAGGAGACTGGCTCTCACCTGGGGAGGTTCCCAGCTGCAGCTGTACAGTGGGATCATCTGGGAGCTTTAAGAACTTCAGATGCAAAAAACAAAACAAAACAAAACAAAAAAAACTCCTCAGATGTTTGGGGTGTCTGGTTGGCTCAGTCGGTAGGTAGCACATGCAACTCTTGACCATGGGGGTGTGAGTTTAAGCCCCAAGCTAGGTATAGAGATTAATTTAGAATTAAAAAAATCTTTATTTTTTAATATTATTTATTTGACACAGAAAGCACAAGCAGGGTGAGCTGCAGAAGCAGGAGGAGAAGCAGGCTCCCCACTGAACAGGGAGCTCCATGCAGGGCTCCATCCCAGGACCCTGAGATCATGACCTGAGCTGAAGGCAGAAGCTTAGCTGACTAAGCCACCCAGGAGCCCCAAAAGTACTATCTTTAAAACAAAACAAGCTACCAAAGCTTTGGTCCCTACACCAGAGATTCTGATTAAATTAGCCTGGGGGTGGGAGGGAGATTGGTCATTCCAACTGCCCCACTGTCTAAGCGTTGAGAATTTTTAAAGTCTAAAGTGTTAGAATTAAGCACAGAGATGAAACCGTTCATAAAACCCTTGGTATTAATATTTTGGGGTTACATTTAGGAGCAATCTGTTGTATGCAAAGGGGCTGTAATGTTTCTGAGAACCCAGCATATCCGTTAAAGAGAATATCTTAAGATTCCTATTGAAATTTGTTAATTGATTTTGAAATAGTGATTTTTTTGAGAGGTTTACTAAACTTGTAAGCAATATCGGAATGTTTAAGATATTTAAGATTGAATTTATAGGTTTAATTTACTGGATTTACAAGGATAATTTAAGAATTTACGGGAGTGCCTGGGTGGCTCAGTTGGTTAAGCATCCAACTCTTGCTTTGGGCTCAGGTGATGATCTTAGGGTTGTGGCACTGAGCCCCATGGACTGCCTGGAATTCTCTTCCTCTCCTTCTGCCCCCACCTCCCTCTCTTAAAAAAAAAAAAAGAAAGAAAAGAACATAGGAAGCATTCAAAGTGCTTTAAAAAATCTATTAAATTTAATCATTAGTTTAAAATGCTTAAGATTAATAAATAAATTGATTAAATAAAATAAAATGTTTAAGATTTTAAAGGGATTTTAAAGGGATCCCTGGATGGCTCAGCAGTTTAGTGCCTGCCTTTGACCCAGGGCGTGATCCTGGAGTCCCGGGATCGAGTCCCACGTCGGGCTCCCTGCATGGAGCCTGCTTCTCCCTCTGCCTGTGTCTCTGCCTCTCTCTGTGTATCTCTCATGAATAAATAATAAAATCTTTAAGCAAAAATAAAATTGAGTCTTGATTTAAAAAATCCAAGTCCAGGGCAGCCTGGGTGGCTCAGTGGTTTAGCGCCGCCTTCAGCCCAGGGCCTGATCCTAGAGACCCGGGACTGAGTCTCACGTTGGGGTCCCTGCGTGGAGCCTGCTTCTCCCTTTGCCTGTGTCTCTGCTTCACTCTCTGTGTCTCTCATGAATAAGTAAATAAAATCTTTAAAAAAATAAAATGAATTTAAAAGTTTAAGGAAAACTGGGTTTTGTGGGGTTTTAAGATTTTATTTATTTGAGAGAGAGCATCAGCAGGGACAGAGGGAGAAGCAGACCCTCTGCTGAGCAGGGAGGGAACCCAATGCAGGGCTCGAACCCAAGATCCTAGAATCATGACCTGAGCTGAAGCAGATACTTAACCTACTGAGCCACCCAGGTGCCCCAGAAAACTAGGTTTTAACATTTATAATAAATTAATTTTTAAAACTGAAGCAAATGCAAAAATTATTTTGTATGTATAAAAACAACCTCAAAGACATAAAAACAACTCCCCACCCGACCCCCATTTGCTGACCACTGGAACAGCATGGCCTCACATCTGCTACTCTTCTTCCCCAATTCCTCGGCAAAAATCACTAATCAATCCCAGCACACTTTCCTTCTGGCCTCTGAAAGTTGCCCGTATACAGCACCCCAAGCAGCAATTCCAGTCACCTGGAGATGGCAGTGAGCTGAAACCAACTTGCCACCTCTTTATTCATGCACCCAGGCGTGCGCCCATGCCTCCATCAAGCAGGAGCTACAAGAGCATCCAGAACTGTCTCCACACAGACAGGACCTCGCTCTGCCTGGTTTCAGTGCTCACTTGTCTCCAGATGCTCACAGACAACCCTGGTGGCAGGTAAGGCAGGGATTATCACCTCCTCGGAAACTGAGGGGGTCCCTGAATTGGTCAGGGCCGGGGTTCAAGGCCACTCCCTCTGCAACATGGAGGGACCACGTGCAAGGTCTCAGTACCTTCTCCCGCTTGTAGAGGCGATCAGCTTTTATGATCATGTCCACCAGGCTGGTGTGGTTGCTGCGAGCGGCCACGGCCAGGGCAGTTTTCCCTTGCTGCAAGTAAGAGGGGAGGCCAGGGTTGCCACCGGACAGGTGTAGGGTGGCCTCTAGCATGGGCTGCAAACGTTCCTGCCCAAAGAAAGCGGTTTCCAGCAGTCTACACTGAAGAGCAGAAAAGTTTCCTGGGCATGACAAGGGGCGTGGAAGACACAGGTAGAGTGAGGCCATGAGGGGCAGCCCGGGTGGCCCAGGGGTTTAGCGCCGCCTTCAGCCCAGGGCCTGATCCTGGAGACCCGGGATCGAGTCCCACGTCAGGCTCCCTGTGTGGAGCCTGCTTCTCCCTCTGCCTGTGTCTCTGCCTCTCTCTGTGTGTGTCTCTCATGAATAAATAAATAAAATCTTAAAAAAAAATGAGGCAATGATAATTCCAGCAACTGCCTCTTGTTTTTCTTTAGAATTTAGGAAGTCTTAGAGCATAACAGCCTGCTTAACTCCTCAACATCACCTGTGAAATAGGGGTCACCTGCTCTGCTTCTCAGATGAAACCAGAGCCGGGAGAAGGACTGGGTTCCTCAGGTCACGTCTGCCCGTCCCACCAGGCCCCCGGCTCCAGGCCTCGGGCACAGGGCTGGCCTCAGTCCCCAGCATGGTGCAGGGAGATGGGGGGCTCCTCTGCACACCTGGCTGGCTGCCCCCTCAGAGCAGGGAGCCCCTCTAGGTCTAGCCTTAGGGCCGATTCCTGCCCCCAACTCTTCCCACACCGTCCTCGGGATGCACCTCATATGCCAGCCCCTTCCCCTCATGAGCCTGTGACCTCCTTGGCCTTATACCAAGTCCTCAACTAGTCTGGAACTTCTGGGCTCCTGAAGGAGCAGCAACCCCAGAGGCACAAAGAGCCAGGAAGCTTCCCGATCCCTGTGCCACACGTAGGGGGCTGTGGGGTGGTGATGTGCAGCTCCTCTACTCCTTCCTCTCCCCACCAGATGACTCAAGAAGCTCAAAGTCTGAGGGGCCATAAGACCAAAGACAACCACATCCCAGTTCTGGTTGGGAGCAGAGGTACCTTATCTCTCAGGTTTAAGTTAACCCGCGCGATGAGGAGCATCTCTGCTATGTCCTGCCTGGCGTGCTCAGCAGCAAGGTGGAGGGGCGTCTGCTGCCTCTGGGGAAGAAGCCAAGGGGACAGAGGAGTAGAACAGCACGTACCAGTGGCCCAAGGCTCAAAGTCAGGACAAGTCCAAGATGGGTACACTCCTAACTAGGCTTTAAAAAGTCTCTAAGAAGTTATGGGAGAGAGTAAGCTGGATTTAGTCATAAATCTAATACCAGAGAAAACAAAAGAAAAAAAGAAACATGAAGAACACAGGAAAAAACACCACTGGCTAGCTCACTAAGTCAATCTCTGTAATGATCCTAATATATTTCTTCTAGTCTTTAATGCAGAATGCTTTTGGTTTGTTGGAAATGGCTGAACGTGGGAAGATGTTTACTGCAGTGTTACACAGACCATGGCAACAACTTGGAAACCACCAAAATGTTCAAAATAGAGGAATGGTTGATGAAATGACGTTACCTTCAACAAATATTCAAAGAGCTTTTTTACAAGCTCAAAAAGTAGTTTCTCAACTATGAGCCATGCTAGGAGATGGCAGCCAAGCCCTGCCAGCCTGGGAGGTTGCCCCAGGGGCTCCCTGGGGCCCAGATGGTTTCTGCAGCCACTTACATTGTCGGTGGCATCCAGGTCACTGCCAGCATCAATGAGAAGCTGGACCAAGGCAGGGAAGTTGTACTTCACAGCCAGGTGCATAGGAGAGGCGCCCTGCTGAGGAAGGAGACACATGGATCCATCAGTGGGTCTCTCCCAGGACTGCCCAGCACAGCTTGGTAGGTTGGAAGTGGGGAGGGGTAGATAGATATAATGCTTCTAGGTTTGACCCTTCTTGCTCCTCCAAGGGCATGGGTGGCTTGAGGAATCTATAACCCCAACAGCTGAAACCCTGTAGTTTCTCTATTGTCAAGGTGGGTGGGAGCCTGAAGACCAAGTTTGAGACCTTGTTATACCAGGAACTCCTATGTGACTGCAGACAAGTCATTTCCCTTCTCTGCTACTCTTCACCTAATGAATGTTTGCTAAGGTCCCTTCTAGCAACACTTTAAAATTCTCTCAGTGAATCCACACATGAACCTAGGAAGTGTATATAGGAATGGTGTTATTAGTATTTTCATCTTAAAAACAGGAAACACTGAGACTGAGGTTCAGAAGACCTAAGTGACTTGCCTGATAGCTAATAGGAACCTTGTGTTATTGGGAGTTTCTCTCCTCAGCACCCAGATAGGTGCCTGATGACTCTTTATCCATGAAAGGAATGAATGAAAGAGCCAGAACAGAGACCTCACAAGTCCAACACACCTCCAAGGCCTTGCTCAAGGCTGGAAGACTCCTTCATCAATGGTCCCCTGTGACCCCTGACCACATGACAAAGTGGAGCTACTGCCACAGCATCCTTCTCACTGGATATAGTGACACATAAATAGTGAAATAGTACAAAGCCAATAAAATCAATGTTGGAAAAACACTCATATATTGAATATAGAAAGATTACAGAACTGAGCACGTGAGCATGCACACACACGACACAAATGTCCACTACCAATGTCTATGATCCCACAACCGGGAGATCATGACCTGAGCTGAAACCAAAAGTCAGATGCTTAACCAACTGAGCTACACAAGTGCTCATAAACACTTTAAAAAAATTTTTTTAAAAGAAAAGATTTATTTATTTATTCATAAGAGAGAGAGAGAGAGAGGCAGAGACCCAGGCAGAGGGAGATCTGATCCCGGATCCCAGGATCACACCCTGAGTCGAAGGCAGATGCTCAACCACTGAGCCACCCAGGTATCCCTCTAAACACTTTCTGAAAAAAAGTTTTTATTTGAGAGAGAATGAGTATGAAGGGGGGATGTGGGGGGGGGGAGGCAGAGGGAGAGAGAAAAGCAGGCTCCCCGCTGAGCAGGGAGCCAGATGCAGGGCTTGATCCCAGGACCCTGGGATCATGACTAAGCTGAAGGCAGACACTTAATCATCTGAGCCACCCTGGGAAAGATTTAAACTATACAATTATTTGTAGGCAATGTGATTGTATACCTAGACAGGTTAAAAAAGTTATTACCCCCCCAAAAAAACTAATAAAATTAATTAAAAGTCATATAAAACCCTAGTCAATAGCATTCCTGTTTTGCATGCCTATAAGAAATGACATATTTTAAAAAAAAATATCCTATTTGGGCAGCCTGGGTGGCTCAGTGGTTTAGCGCCACCTTCAGCCCAGGGCCTGATCCTGGAGTCCCAGGATCAAGTCCCACATCGGGCTCCCTGCATGAAGCCTGCTTCTCCCTCTGCCTGTCTCTCTCTCTCTCTCTCTCTCTCTCTCTCTCTGTGTGTGTGTGTGTGTGTCTCACGAATAAATAAATAAAATCTTTAAAAAATAAAATAAAATATCCTATTCACGACAGCCAAAAATACAAAGTATCTATGAAGAGTATAATTGTTAATGGACACACCAAAGGCAAACTAAAAGCTATATAACATCACTGAGGGATATAAAAGACAAAGAAATAGCAAGACTTTATGCTTCTAGTGAAAAAATATTATAAAGATGACCATTTTATATTATTTACAAGTTTAATGTAATCCTAAACCCAAATTTGTTTTTAATTTTTTTTAAATCCAAATTTCAATAAATTCCAAAAAGTATTCTGAAACACATCTAGAAAAAAAATTTTTAACTCAGGTAAAACTACTGTAAGACTTTCAACAGTGTCCTCAGATCGTTGCCGGATGACTATGAAATCAAAATCTGGCCAGAAAAAGGTCTGCAGTGCCAGTAATGGGCAGAGACTGAAATGGACTCAAATGCACAAGTCCGGTGAGCCTGGAAACTTGTCAGAACTACAAGGACTGGGGGATCCCTGGGTGGCTCAGCGGTTTAGCGCCTGCCTTCGGCCCAGGGCGCAATCCTGGAGTCCTGGAATCGAGTCCCACGTCGGGCTCCCGGCATGGAGCCTGCTTCTCCCTCCTCCTGTGTCTCTGCCTCCCTCTCTCTCTCTCTCTCTCTCTCTCTCTATGTCTATCATAAATAAATAAATAAATCTTTAAAAAAAAAGTAAAGTTCAAAAAAAAAAAAAAAAAAGAACTACAAGGACCGGCTTCCAAGGAAGCAGCAGGGTATGGAGATAAAACAAGAAAATAAGCTGAATGTAACCTCATGTCTGGGGGAATGTGATTAGAAAGGGAAGTGGAAAGAGAGCAAATACAGCTTTTAGTTGGTTTACATTTTATTTATAAAAACCAAAAAGTACACAAGGTATCTAGTGAAAGCCTTCTTCCACCCCCATCACCCCTCTGCTCATACTCCCTAAACCTCATTGGTAACCTTGATCATTGCTTTTATGTGCATCCTTCCAGATGCTTAAACTTTTTTTAAAAAAGAAGCAGAACCTTAAATTAAAATTTTATTTTTAAATAATTATGGATTCACATGCAGCCAAAAAATACAGAGAGCTCTGGTGTAACCTATACCCATTTTCCCCCAATGGTAACATTTTACAAAATCCTGGTACAGGAGTGCCGGGGTGGTACAGTCAGTTAAGCGGCCAACTCCTGGTTTCAGCTCAGGTTATGATTTCAGGGTCCTGGGATCGAGCCCTCCATCAGGCTCCTGCTCAGTTCAGCACAAAGTCCGCTTTCTCTCTCTCTCTCTCCCCCCCCTCCCTCCTCCCTTCTCTCTCTCCTTTTCCCTCTGCTCCTACTACCAGCACACTCTTGCGCTCTTTCTATAAAATAAATAAATGCGAAACAAAAGCACAAAAACAGCCTTGGTACAATATCTCAAGCAGGATAATGACTCTGACAACATCCCCCATCTTATTCAGCTCCCCTCAGCTTCACTTGTAGTCATTTGTACACACGTGTGTTCAGTCTACACCATTTTATCACACGTGCATGTTCATGAATCCACTGCATAGTCAAGATACAGAATAGTTCCCTCCCAAGGATCTCTCGTGTTGCTGATCTCACAACCCTGAGATCATGTCCTGAGCTGAAATGAAGAGTCAGACGCTTAACCAACTGAGCCACCCAGGTGCCCCACTGAATGTACCTTTTCTGTTCCAAGATCCCATGCAGAGGACAACATTACATTTAATTGCCATGTCTTCTTTCGCTCCTCTGGACTGTGATGGTTTCTCAGACATGCAGTGTTTTTGATGACCTTGATAGTTTTGAGCATTTGTCACTATGTTGTAGAATGTCTTTCATTTGAGATTTATCTGATATTTTTTCTCATGATTAGACCAGGATTATGGGTTTGGGGGAAGAAGATCACAGGAGGAAAATGTCATTTTCATCACACTGTATTAAGGGTACATACCGTCAACATGATTTATCACTGTTGACGTTGGCCTCAATCACCAGGCTGAGGTAGTGTCAGGTTTCTCCCCTGTGAGGTTACTTTTTTTTTTTCCCTTACCATATTATACTTTTTGAAAGAAAGTCATTATTCAAAGTCCACATTTAAGGAATGGGGAGTTATGCTCTACTTTCTCGAGGTCAGAGTATCCACATAAATTATTTGGACTTCTTCTGCATGGGAGGTTTGTTTATTCTCCTCTACTTACTTGATTCAATCATTCACTCATTTATATCAGTATGGACTCATGTTTATTTTATACTTTGGATTATAATCCAATACCACTTTATTTTGTTGCTGAAACTGTTCCAGCTTTGACCACTGGGCACCCTTTCAGTTGGCTCCAGCGTCCCCTTGACAGGGCTTCTTCATTGTGATGGTGGTGGTGACGTTTTTAATAGGATAGATTTTTAGAGCAGCTGGAGGTTCACAGCAATTTTGAGCAGAGGGTAGAGAATTCCCATATATCTGCCACCTGCACATGTTCATAAACTGTTTTATTATCAACATCCCCCACCACAGTGGGGGACACTTGTTACAACCAATGAACCTACACTGACACATGGTTATCACTCAAGATTCTTAGTTTACATTAGGGTTCACTCAAAAACAAACAAACAAAACATTAGGGTTCACTCTCGGTCCCATGCATTCTGTGTGGGTTTAGGTGAATGTATGAGGGACACCTAAGTAGCTCAGTTGGTTACGCATCTGCCTTCAACTCAAGTCATGAACCTACGTCGGGTTCCCTGCTCAGCAGAGTGGGTTTTTCCCTCTGCCTCTGCCACTCCCCCTGTTCATGCTTGCTCTTTCTCTCTCTCTCTCAAATAAATAAAATCTTTAAAAAATAAATGCATAATGTCATGTATCTGCCATTACAGTATCATACGGTGTGTTTTTACCATCCTAAAAATCCTCTTCGTCTGTTCATCCCTCCTGCTAACTCTGGCATATTGCTTGTCTGGATATACCACGGTTTATTTAACCAATTACCTACTGGAGGACTTCTTGGTTGCTTCCAAATTTTGGTAATTGTAAACAAAACTGCTATAAAGATCCTTGTGCAGGTTTTTCTGTGGACATACATTTTCAACTCCTTTGGGTAAATACATAGGAGTGTGATTGCTGGATCGTATGGGAAGAGTAGATTTAGTTTGTAAGAAACTGTGAAAACTGTTTTCCAAAGTGGCTGTACCATTTTGCATTCCCAGCAGCAAAGAATGACAGTTTCTGCTGCTCCACATCCTCATCAATATCTGGTGTTGCCAGTGTTTCAGCCTTTGGACGCATTCTAGTAGGTGTGTACATCACTGTGTTTTTTGTTTTTTGCTTATAATTTTTTTTAAAGAT